AAAAAAAAAAAAAAAATGGAATGTGTGTATCACATACGAATGGTTTGGTGGGGAATTTGCTGTTTTTTGTAAAAGTCAAAGCCTGTCTCTCTCCTATCCGAGCCACTTTTTGACATCACCACTCTCAAGTTTTTTTCCGAGCGGCATTATTGTTGCAACAAACGACATCCCTTGGTCCCATGGCCTCAGCACACACACCTCAGTGAGGCCCAGGGCTCAAGTGAACCCAGGTTAAGAACCAATGGTCTCGCACAAACTAATACATTAAAAGTGAGCATTCCAGTCCATGATTTATTTTCAACAAATACAAATACAAACATACATAAGAACTTACTTAGTGAACACATTTAGCCAGAGAATGCAAAACAAAAAGGGGTTAAGGAATTCCCAGTGGAATTGTGAAGGAGATGTAGTCCCCCACCTCCCCCCACTGGGCCCTGTAGTGCTGGTAAATGGTGATCCAAGTGGTGAGTACTGCAACCCATAACAGCAACCCCAGTGCTGAGCGCTTGACATCTACACGGATGTCAAAACAAACACACAAGAATGCCATTGTCAGTTGACATGATAAACGCCGTCAAACGTTTCTGCTTGTACCAGTAACCCTCAACTACTTTATTGAACTTCTAGCAGGCACGCAATTCTGTGGCAAAGGGCTTTTTCATCATGGTTCGTCATGTTTGTTGTGTTGTCATGTCATTCTTACTTTTTAACATTTCAATGGTGTACTTGGTAAGTTCTGTGTTGATGTTTAAAACATCAGGTAAAAGATTACCAATTGGCACACTCACATGTTTTGATCTGCAGTTGTTCAGTGTAGGCTGGTTTTACAAAAGCTTCTCGGAAAAACCAAACAACGTTGACAAGCCAAAGGAATGGCAGAAAAGCAAATCCACCTGGGGGAAACATAAAGTATTAACAATACAAAATGCATTTGAACTGAGTTTGGACGGTCACTCTAACACCTGAAGAACATAATTCACTACGATGACACTTTGTACAGTTTGGGGGGCCTTAAATAACTAAACTGACACCCGGCCATTTGGAGTGTGCTGTCCTTGGCCAAGAGTCCCCTCCCTCTCCTCATCTGCAAGTATTTGGTTTTTGGCCCATTTAGTTGTGCAATCACTTCATTATACAACATTGCATTGTTTATTTTATCATGCAAGGAAGCTATTTTTAAGAACATGTGAGAGGCTCGAGCGCATAAATCAGGAGTGTCTTGAAAGATGTATTTTGACAGGATTCAGACATTGCCCCAACTCCAAATCTGGAATTGTGAAGAAGAGCGTGTTGACAGTTTGTTTAATATACATTAGGATTTTATACATTTGCATTAACAGTGTTTCAAACATGAACGGTAGCTTGACCTGGACAAGCGGCTATTGTGACGGACTCTCCTTACAGAGGGGGACGCTCCTGGGACCAAATTTAGGACCCTACCAAATGGTACGAATAGGTAAATATTGCCTGTTTTTTTTTCTCCATCCGAGCATGTCATGTTTATTTTAAAAAAACTTTCTGTCGTGTCAAAGTAACGTTCACTACTGAGGCAGGTCAAGAAAGACAAAGAACAAATGCAGGGGTCATCAGTGAGAAGGAGTCATCCTGCATCATGACAGTGCACGGAATTACAGAACAGCCCAAACGTTGCAGACCATCAACGAGCTGGGCTGGGAACTCTTCCCTCATCCCCCTTACAGCCGAGACCTGTTTGGTCCCTTAAAAGCGTTCACGAGAGGCACAAAGTTTCAAAGTGACGATGAAGTCAAAAGTGTTGCGTGCAACTTGCTGAGACATCAGTCCAAAGATTTTTACGCAGAGGAAAAATATGGAAGCTTGTGCACAGATGGGAAAAGTGTGTGACAGTGCTGGGAGTCTATGTTGAAAAAAAAGTAAGCTTCTATTTGTATTTCTAAGTCCTTATACCGAAACATTCACCTTATTTATTGAATGACCCTCATACTTATGGATAGCACCGCCAATTCTCTTATCTTACATTATAGATTCTTCTGTCGAGACAGGTTTGTAACGTAACAATTCAACTTTCTCCTAACAAAAACATATCTGGATCTTCTTTGCTGTGTTGTCGTGACCTCAACATAGTGACCTTTAATTTCAATGTAAATGTGATTTGCTCTCACCAAGATAATATTTTCTGCAAAGTCCAAGTTTCTCCTCATTCGGCACTCTTTCCAGATTCATGACTGTGGGAGTGTGGGTTGTCCTCTGACAGGGGGATAAAATAAAAAAAGAGACATTATGACAAAAGTTAGAAAGCGACGTGGTTGTGAAAGGAGTTGTAAGTGCATTACTTCAATGGCGAACTTAGTAATGTCAAACGTAATGGAGAATTACATGTAGCTACAACAAGCTAGCTTCCAACAACTTCGTCCACAATCCAGTCCCTTGACCGCTTACGACAGTTTAACACAAAGTCAACCAATAATCGTTTAATCGCTATGTTTCCTTACACGGTTAAGAGCAATGTACCTATCGATTCTTCGGAGAAAAGCAGGTAGTGATAAAAAATTAAATAGAGGTAACAAACTCCGTTACTTCCGCGTACGTTCTTCTTCCCTCCCGTCTTCGTTGTGACTTTTCCTCTGCTTTCTTCTTTCGTTCTTTGCCTGCGCCATGCAACCGAAAGTACAACAGCGCCACCTAGTAGTGCACAGGCGTATCACAGAGCAATTACAGACAACAGAGCCTATATGTGTTACGTACAGTATTTTTAGTTGTTGTTTTAACCCTTATATTATGTTAAGGGTCAATTTGACCCATTTCAGTTTTTTTCTTGACCAAACCACTGAATTTCCTTTCTTTTTCTTCATGAAATTTATTGACTTTTCCTCATCTAGGGTCATGAACTGGTGTGTAAAATCTGGACACTCTGATGTGTAGTGGGATTTCTGTGCACAGTTTGAATACAAATATGATGTTGGGGGTCATTTTGACCCAGGCACTTTAATGTGGGCAAGCAGCTTTTCAGATCCAAAAGAAACATGTCTAATTGATGAACAGTACTTTGTTTTGACTGCTCAGTGACTGCCAGAGACCCAGGTGTGTGTAGAGCAAGAACTTTCTCTCATTTGACTCGTCACTCTTCTCATGTCATTTTTTTGACCAACATATCAAAAATGAGCTCCAGAAAATTTACAGCTGAAGAAGCTTCATCACAGAGTTCAAACGGGGATAGTGATGCAGAGGAAGATATTTCAGAGACAGAGGAGCTTTCTGGCAAGTATGGCATCAAAATATGGGCAGCCTGTGATGCAAAATCTAGTTTTGCATGGAATATGCAAGTGCATACTGGAAAGCTACTTGGAGGAGCATCTGAGAAGATTCAGATGATGCGTGTGGTGCTGAAGATGAGTGCAAAGTCATAACTTCTTTACAATATACGGCCTTGGAGATGAAGTTCAGGAGAGAAAGCTGACTATGTTGGCAACAGTCATAAGAAATAAGACAGAAATTCCCGGTGAAATTCTGAAGATGCAGGGCAGACCCCTGCATTCCTCAGTATTTGTTTTCACTGAAAAAGCAGCAGTTGTTTCAAACTGCCCAAAGAAAATAAAAATGTTCTTGTAATGAGCACAATGCACACAGATGCATCTCTGAGCACAAGAGAAGACATGAAGCCACAAATGATCCTGGACGACAACGCCACCAAAGGGGGACTTGACAATCTGACAGCACACATACAACTGCCAGTGCAATACTTTGTAGATAAAACACTGAAAATCTCAGAAAACTTAAATGGAAAAAAAGAAACATAACAGGGAAAACATTCAACTAAACAGTTCTTAAATATACTGTTGGGATAAAAAATCTGTTGTGTGTCTCTTTTCTAAATGTTTACATCATCTTAAACAAAGTTCTTACTGGTGCAACCTGTTTTTTGACTATTTTGTGTGGATTTTTACAGTACGGGTCAAAATGACCCACAACATAATCAATGTGATTTATTTTCAACATAATATGAGGGTTAAGAACGTAAGAACAAAGGAGCACAGAAGAGTACAATGAATGGATTAAGGTAGTTTATTTTGAGTTTTTTTAACTAAAGCAATTTCACATTCCCTATTTTTAAGACCAATCGATTATTAAACTCGTTTTCATCATTTCAGGGCTTTCAACGCTGGCTACATAGTCCCTATGTGTTTTTTTTATACCTCAGATGGCCGTGATAACTAAATGTACAATCACCCCCTGATATTATGACACATACATACATACATACATACATACATACATACATACATACATACATACATACATACATACATACATACATACATACATACATACATACATACATACATACATACATACATACATACATACATACATACATACATACATACATACATACATACATACATACAGGACACAATTGTCCTTGCATTTTAGCGTTATTCTATTTATCTATTTTTTCACAATTAAATTGTCAGTTAAGTATTTAAGTATAAGTGAACATACAACTATTGTTTAAATTGTGAATTTATGTCAGGATAGGATTCGGTAAAGAAATGTAATGTCGAGTAAAGGTTTACATTTTGGTGGACATTTTATTTCTTTGATTTTTATTTGTTTATGTATTTGTTGTGTGCTGCATAAAATGATGTGGTGGAGCTGATTTGCCTCCTGGCCTAGAGTTTGACAACTATTGCCTTGATGATCAATATTCACCAGCCTTTTGATTGATTTATCAGTTGGACCGTTATGCTGAATAAATCAACACCAGTCTGATCTTGTTAAGGGAATTTTCTATGTTTTTAATTTATTACACTGATTGCACTCAAGGGGAAAATCAACAGGGAATGATCAATATCCTTGGCAGAAATAAAGGGCTTCAAACGCTAGTCTTTTGGGGGCGACATGGAGGCGTGGACCGGCTCTTAACTAAGTCACAAAATCCTAAAAATAACAAGTGTAAAATGTATTTGAATCGTTTGTTTTTCTTGCTCCACACAGATCCATCCAAAGAACGCAATTTTCGCTTGGCGTTGCAGTTTGCACCAATCACCACCAGGTGTCTACAAAGCGTAACATCGCCTGTAATGTTTGAGGAAAAACTCACTTTCCCATAAAGCATTGCGTCAACCCCCTCCCATCTCGCGCCTTCCCTCTTGTCTCTCGTCGCTCGAGTCTGCTAGCCATAGGTGTGTGTTGTTGTCGAAGCAATGATGGCGGCAGCGGGATGCGGATCAGCAACCGCGGCTGCCGGAGGAGGCCAAGGTGGAACCGCTACGGCCAGAGGTCGTTTCCCCGGTCGGCCTTGGTCGTCTCGTAGTCGTTTGCGCTCCGAGAAGCGCTGGCAACTCGGGCGCTCGGGTTTAGAAGCTGATGATGTGACTTGCGGAGGGCCAAGGCCCGCCAACCTGGTTGTATCGTTAAACGAAGACCAGTCTCACTTGCGCTTACTTGGAATAGAGGCAAGCCACAAGACCCTTGGCCAGGCTGGGTACAGCTCTAGTGGGAGTGAAGAGGTGAGGTCCCAAACCGACTCAGGAGTTAGTATCCTTATTTTTTCCACACATTACAATACAGTTAAATGCGCTCATATGAGTGCTGTCTCCAACTGTGTTTCTATTGGTGTCATGGAGAAATGTCAACATCCTGTGCTAGGCTAACGCGTTAGCCCCCCCCCCCTTATGCTAACATGATTTGCTAACCAATGTTAGCGGGGCTTTTCGTGACATTTACGGAGTCGCACTGTAAAATACAGTCTGTAAGGGGCAAAACGCGGCAACATTAACTCTTGTGCTGCCATATTCGTTAGACAGTGTGTAAATGTCACCCCGAGACACTTTGCTCCTGAATATTTCATGAAAGCCAGTGAGTGAATACGCCAATTTGTAAACAGCAAACGCAATTAGCTCTCCAATGGCCCGCTCCTTATCGGGCCAAAGTAGCTGGCAGCTAATCGTAGAGAACACAAAGAACGGGGAAGGCTAACACCCGTGCCCCACACAGCAGCTTGCCGTGCTGCTAGCTGTTCTATTTTACTGACACGCTTGCCTTTTAAACAAATTACGCAATATCACGTGTAACCGTAGTACTTACCTCGTAATACTAACATGTTATGGACACTCCTAAGGAGAGTTTAATTCAATGTTTCATGCGTTGCACAGAGGCTACATGTTAGCAAGTATTGACAAGCAGGAACTTTTTATTTTTATGTTTAGAGAGCCTTATACATTCAAAGTAGAATGACTAATGTATTGTTGATGTTCTTACTCACACACAGCTCTTTCTCAATATGTTTTAATAATGCAGTACTTGGTGGTACTCACCATGCGTTTTTAGTATTGGTACGTCATACGGAGTTGTCACTACTTGAAGTTAGTTTCGCTGTTAGATGTCACTGAAATTACATGATATACTTGGTTCACCTGCAGCCCAAATGATAAAATAATCTTTGGTTGACGTTGTAATTGTTGAATAGTCAGTTGTAGTGAATTTAACAACTGTCATCAAATATTATTTGTACTGTATGTTAAATTACTGTCAATGTTTAATATGGATGAATATGCAACTAGGCCGTACAAGTACAGTCACTCGTCATAATGCCATGTTTTAGTTACATATTGGAATTCAATCAGTAAAATTTTTTTAAACACCTGCTGTCAAGTCGTGTGTGTGTGTGTGTGTGTGTGTGTGTGTGTGTGTGTGTGTGAGTGTGTGAGTGTGTGTGTTGTTGCGAGTGTGTTTGTGTTTGGACCTTGAATTTGTTGAGTTTGCTTCCATTGGAATCACATCAAAGTTTTTGCATGTGTTAATTATTGTTTTTCTTCCTAAGGGTGATGACTTCCAAGGTTTTGAAGCTCTCAGAGAAAGCTCTAAAGGAGCGCTATGGTCTCGGCAAAACCCTTCCAAAGGTAGAAAATGCTTACTATGAATGTTTTAATTACATATGAACAAGTTAAAATTTAAATTAAATGGCATATACAGACATGCTGTTTTTCCCAAAATGTCTATGTTGTAGTTGCTGCATATTTACAATATATATGTGTATATATATATTTTTTCATAGGTAATGTCAACACAAAATCAAAACGACAAAGTGCGAAGGTCGTGCCTATTATCCCAGCTGATGAAGCATCTATTTGTCCTCCTAACCCTGATAAAGATGAACATTTGGTGGAGGAGAAACACACTGCATCTTCCAAACCTGAGCCTGTTAAAGGTCCCAGAAAACGATCGAAAGTTAAGAACACCGCTGATCAGGAGATGTCCAAATGTGGAGTGTTGTCGCCTGCACCAAGGATTACAATTAAGTTGGTTGCAAAAAAGAAAATCAAAACAGTAAAGGAACCTCATGAAAAGTCTGTCAAGAAGATGAAGCTGAAAGAAACAGAGCTGAAGCCCCAAGCTGAAAATATCCAGGCTGAAAACATTTCTAGTGCTCATGTTAAATTAAAACTTGAGCCACCTGAGGAGGTTGCAGATGATAAAGGAGCTGGGACTTTACCTGCAAGAAGACGTGGACGATCTGCTTCAAAGGGGATGCTTGGCAAGCCTGTTGCAGTCATTGTGGCTGATGATAAGAAGTCGCAAGCGAGAAAATCAATGAATCAACCTGACATTATAAAAGAAACTGTTGAGTCAAAGGCAATGGCAAAGCAGTCGCCACGTAACCAACAAGCCATTCGGCGTAGCAATAGAGTCACCAACTCACTGTCACAACCTGTTTTGGATGCTGCTGCTGATCCTGAAAATCCAATAAAAAGTGATACAATTGTTAAAAAGTCAAAATTGACCAGAAAAGCTGAGCCAAAACTGTCCGTGAGGAGGGGCAGACAGAGACAAAGTAAAAGAATAAATAAGGATGTTCCAGTCCCAGAAAACCCAAGTCCATCATCCACTAAAATTGATCCATTAGCCATGCAACCCACCAATAGGTTGCCTTTGAACATTGAGGGAAGGGTCCCAAGTTTGAAGTTGAGAAAAATGAGGAACCCCAAATATGATGCACAGTCCAGTGGGAAGTCAGCTCGAAAAAAGAAACGGAAAAAATTCATTTGGACTTTATCCTTGGTTAAGTCAGTGAGTAAGATCCAGCCTGCTGAAAACACTGTCAAGCTTACAGAGAGTGTTAGAGAGATTTCTGAAGTGGATCTGTCCACTCTAAATGACAGTGTCGAAAAGAGTTTGATGGGGTTGGAGAAGCCGTTAAAATTGGACAATTGGGCCTCACAGGAGAGCACCACAGCAAGCAGTGAAGAAAAAAACTGCCAAAACAAGGCAGGGGGAACATGCGAGAAAATGTCTTCTTTACAAGTGGAAGTTACGCAGGACGGAAACGAAAGCTCTCTTCAAGAAGCCACTCAAATGGATTGTGGGAAAGTTGTCCCACCTTTTCAAATAAAAAAACTCTCCTCTCCCGGCAGACATAAAAAATCCAAGATGTCTTTTTTGGTTCAGCAGGTTAGCCCTGTGCCTGAAAAAAAAGATGATTCTACTAAAGAAGCGGGCAAAGTTCAAGAGGATAAGGCCCTATCTCCGGAGACGGACGTCCTGCCAACCAGGATACTACGAAGGAGAACATTAAGCCTTGATTTGCCTCCCAAAAAGCCGGTCATTTGTAAGCCTGTCATGACTCTGCCGAAGCGACGTTTGAGAACGAGTCCACAGGTAGAAAATGCACCACAGGTGGGTGTTGAAGTACCCGATCACGTTTTATCAGAAGAGGCCAGCTCACAAGTTCTCCCTGAAAACATACAGGAAACGATTCTAAAATCCTCGCAAGACTCTTGCACAATTTCTGAAAGCTTGGAGAAGGAGTCCGCAGACATAACTGATGCTCCTATAGCAGTGCCTGTTGAAGTGCTGCCTGTTGAAGCGTCGCCGCAGAAGTTGGAGAATGAGGCTGAGCCACAAATTAATGAGGCCAAACCATTGCCAGTGCCTTCTAAACCCAAGAGACGCGACAATAATAAATTAGGGAAAAAGAGGTCTGCGCAAAGGAAAAAGGCTGTTGTACCTAAAGAAAGTGCGGTCAGTACAGAATTGGTTATTGTTGAACCTGCAAATACAGAGTGCCCACAGAAGGAAGACAAGGCTTTAGAAACAGAAGCAAGCCAGCCCGAGGCGAAAGAAAGTGTGGAGCCTGAGGAAAAGGGGGTCACTGTATCTGTGGAGGAAGAGCCGAAGCAGCTACCAGTTAAAGAGGAAACAGACATTCACCTGATAGATTTTCAGCCGCCCGTGGATTTGGAGAGTCAAGCAAGTAATCCAAACACATTATGCTTAGAGAAGAAATCCCACAAGAAAGGAAAAAAGAGGCGTAAAACTCGAATTGGGCAGCGTCAGAAGCACAAACACAGGAACACCGATGGAAAGTTTGCTCCTCTTAACTCATCAGAAAGACAGGGAACATTTGAAGAGGGCGTTTCCATCCAATCAGAAGGTAGTGGTCAAGCCTCCTCTGGTCCTAAACTGGTTGGTGTGCATAAAAAGTACAAAAAGAGACCTTCTGCCATCCGGTTAGACCCCAAAAGGCCGCAAACAGAGTCTATCCTTTCAACATTGATTGAAATTGGGCTTGACAAAGAGGGCAGTGATTTGAAAGAGGAAGAAACCGACTCATTCTTGGATGGGCCACGAGCAGATGCAGTTGACATGCCGTCTGGCAAAACAAAGTTTGTCAAAAACATCAAACACTTCATCATGCCTGTTGTAAGTGCTCGATCCTCTCGAGTGATCAAGACCCCACAGAGATTTATGGATGATGTTGGAATGTCCATGTTGCCACGTCGAAACTCTCCCAAGAAAGGTTTGCAACTGGGCTTGCAGATACGCACGGGAAAGAGGCGCGATGAAGGGATAGGACCAACTATTTCACCCGTCCTACCTGTTGATGAGGATGACATATTGCGAGAAGCTCAACTGGATCTGGACCTCTTTTCATCTGATGATCTGGATGATACGGCAGATATCACTGCCAGTCTCTTTTCGGAGTCAAAAAGCATCAAAATGGAAAAGAAGAGCTCATTTGTGAAGGACTCCAGTTTGAAGTGGGATCTGCCTGCAGAGTTGACGGAGGAAATTTTTACACTGGACAAAACTACGGAGGACCAATGCGAGGATCTGTTTGTATCTCCCCCAGCTGAAAAACCCAGAGAAGCCTTTTCCGCTGGCCTTTTGGATGCTGAGAAAAAGACCCCAGCCCTAAAGTTTAATAAACAAGCCGCCCACTTTAAGATTTATCAAAGACTGAACAAGTTGCACAAAGGACTTGCCCAAGGCAAAAGTGCAACAGATGTGGAAAGTAGCAAATCTCTTCAGTCGTCTGTAGATTTAGCTGAAGGACTTGATGATGAGGCCATGAGCATTAGCCTGAGGCAACGTAACACAGACACTGGTATAGAAAAATCCAAGCTCAAGATAGAAGACTTAGGCACTCCAGGTGTTGTGAGAAAAGTTTGCATTAAAGCTTCAAAGTCCAAGTCGCTTGCTGATCGGGACAGTGAAAAAAAGGATCCAGCAGGGAAGAACACCATCCAGCTTCACTCAGGTATAAGCACCATTGTTTAAGAAAGCTGTTATTTCTAATGAGCTAAGGCATTTCTGTTAGGTGACTTCTGAGCATGTATAGTGGTAAAATAGCAATAATATGTTCCTTTGAACCGATAGCTGAGCTGCAGTCCACAGAGGAGTCAGCTGCATGTGAAGACGACCATCCTGCGCCTATGGGAAAAGGAGCTTCACAGAGAGCGCGTCTAACTGGAGCCAATAAACGAATGTTCAACCTGCTCAGAAAAGCCAAAGTCCAGCTCATGAAGATTGACCAACAGAAACAGATGAAGTCCTCAGGGGTAAAGTCTTGACTTCTAACATCAATTAGGAATAATAATAATAATCATCATTTATAACAGTGATCCAGTGGTTAGCGCGTCGACCTCACAGTGCAGAGATAGCGTGTTCAATTCCAGCTCCGGCCTCCCTGTGTGGAGTTTGCATGTTCTCCCCGGGCCTGCGTGGGTTTTCTCTGGGTACTCCGGTTTCCTCCCACATTCCAAAAACGTGCATGGCAGTCTGATTGAACACTCCAAATTGTCCCTAGGTGTGGGTGTGAGCGTGGATGGTTGTTCGTCTCTGTGTGCCCTGCGATTGGCTGGCAACCGGTTCAGGGTGTCCCCCGCCTACTGCCCAAAGACGGCTGGGATAGGTTCCAACACCCCCCGCGACCCTTGTGGGGATTAATCGGAACAGAAAATGGATGGATGGATGGATTTTTAACAGTGTGGCTGAAGGCTCTGTTACTTATGCTGGATAGACAGCAGAAGGGATGGTTGTGGAAGGACGAAGACCTGAGAGAATGGCAGGTTATGGCAATGTGGAGGAGGTCAGGAACATGGTTGGTTGACACAGTTGATGGCCTTGAATGTGTAGATCAGTATTTTATATCAGATACGGTATTGGACAGGGAGCTAATGGTGTTGTTGCAGGACCTGCATGATCTGGTGGATGGAGGGGGTTCTTGTGTAGTTAGTACAGTCACTTTTAAGGGAGATCATACAGGAGAAAGTTTCATTAATCCAGGTGGAAGGCTATGAAGAAAGGACAGCTGCATTATGATTTCAGTGTGAATATGGAATAAAACAAAACATAAATAAATGAAGGAAATATTAAAAGAAGACAATAAGCAGCGGCAGCACGACTGCCTCATTCACTCGACGCCAAGTGACAATGTGACAATTAGGGATGCAACAGAAACGGCAATATCGCAATATCAATATTTTAAAATTGCCTCGATATGGTTAACGTCATGTCATGATATTAAAAGCACCACATCTGTTTTAATAGGCCAGGTTATTTTCCATTTGTGCAGTTCCAGCACATTGTGGATAGTTTATTAGTGCTGTTTAATTTGAATTAGGCATGTTTTGGCCATCTAGGTTTAAGACCCACGGTAATCGCCAGATATAGGTGATCGAAACACGTTTGAGTTCCTTCGCAAATTGACTTGATTCACAATATGTGTGTGTATTACCAAGTGCCTCAATGTTTAGTGGTATTCGTGTTATCAGCCGAACACGGCATACCCTGATACTTTTTGCCGCTGAGCCAATAAGAACAACTGACAATAACATGGCAGGCAAATTCTATTTTTCTGTCAGTGCTGTTATCTACAAAAACACAATATTGTGCTTTTTTTATCCCAGTATGAGATTTCAATATACGTTTGCAAGTGTATACAGTATTGGGAGTTTTTTTTCCAACTTCCCAAAATATTGTCATAATTAATGTATTGTGAGGTTCATATTGTGATAATATTGTATTGTGACCTTTGGTTACCGTTACATCCCTCGAGACAATGGCGGTCTTCATCAATAATTCTTACCATAAATAAATAAAGCTTAAATGGGTGCCTTTTTTTATTTTTTTATTTTGCATATCTGAAGCTGTTATCTGGACCTGCTGGAGTCCGAGCGAGAAATTTGACCTCGAAGAGACAGAGAAGGAAGCGCAGAGTGCCGCTTGAGCCTGATGTACCTATCAAGATAGAGCCATCTCAAGGACAAGTAAGTGCGCAAATCAATAGGCTTGCGGAGAACAATTGATCTAACTAAATATCTTGCATCTTTCTCCTTTCCCTTTATCTATGGGGTCTCAAGATCACAGTGAATTTTCCATGTGGGTTTTGTGTAAAACGGACCCAATGGAACAGATAAATTCTATGTAAATGCTATGAAACGTCATATTTGATGTTTGAGCAAATTGATCTCTCTGATATTTCTTGCATCATCGTGCAAGTCCATCAGCAGTTGAGCATTTGTTGTGTTTTGTCACCCCTCTAGCTGCAGCTCATTTCGCCACTGTGCCAAGAGTTCCGTCAAGCAGGAGGCCCACGCATCAAACATGTGTGCCGCGCTGCTTCTGTGGTGCTTGGGCAGCCTCGGGCATTGGTACCAGATGACATTCCCCGGCTCAGCGCTCTACCTCTGCACGAACGAACAGGCATCTCTCCCTCAGCTATTGCAAAGGGTAGAAAAGACAAATTTCACACAGTCACTTCCTGTTTCTTTTTCTTTGTTATTAATGCACATACTTTACCCTAGGGATAGACCTGATTATTTGCCGGGCAGATTATCGGCGCCAATATTTGGCATTTGTGACCGATATTGTCATTGGCTTAAAAAATAATAATCATCTGACATCTGATAAAAGATCAATTTAAAAATGTGTTGACTGAAGGAAAGTATTTATTTACATTTAGTACACCTTTTGTTTTTTTGTTTGAAATTAAAACAAAGTGACGTGAAAGTTTAATCTTTCAGTTATTTTGAATTTTGGAAATTTTATTTGCTTTTCCAACTCTAGGGAACTATTTACTTTTTTTGGTTTTCATTTAACTTTTCAAGGCATGCTGATGACCCCTAGCCCGCTTAACTTTTTGTCCGAATTTTAAAACAAAGATTTCTGTCGTCTAAGACAGGGGTCCCCAACCTTTTTTGCACCACGGACCGGTTTATGTCAGACAATATTTTCAGGGACCGGCATTTAAGGTGTGGCGGAAATAATACAACAAAATAATATGGTATGAGCTGCATGAAAACTGTGGTGTTTTCGAAATATAATAATAAACACAAGGAGCGTCTAATCTGGCCGCAACACTCCAATCGCTATGGCAATGTTTAATGCCCAAAATACGA